CATATATAATATTATTTTTAAATTCTGATAAAGTCTTCAATCAGCTAGTGATAAAATGAGAATCTACTATGATGTTAATGCTGATACCACTGAATTCCATTAAGGTGACATAGTATAGCTGTACAATACACACCACAAGAAAGGACTAACTCCAAAGTTTAGCAAGTGTTGGGAAGGACCATATGCTGTACTGAAAAGAACCGATGATATAGTTTGCAGAATCCAGAAGGAGGGGCAGTCTAAACCAAAATATACTCGAATCAATATTTTTTTTTGTAATATTTCAGAAAGAGAAGCTAAGTAAACTATCTCAAATTCGGTTTTAGCTTTTTAAGTACGTCTTTTGCTTGCTAGTTTATTCAAATATATACATTTATGTGTACATAATGTGCTATCTGTGGCTCACCGCCGCTGGTATTGAAACCCTGTTTTAGTGTTATAAGCCTTCAGGCTTATCTTTGAGGGACTGGGGGCAATTAAAAATAAAAATATCAGGTATAGAATGAATAGTATCTTTTTTGTGCATAATCAAATAAAAAATACACGAAAAAATCGTAAAGCCTGAAGGGTACTTTATGCAGCAGGTGGGTTAAAAGGTCAGGTCAGAATTCAGAGGTAGCATTTCCTATTTTTGAACTAATGAACATAGAAGTGGCAGATAGTTAGCAGTACCTGCTAACCCACTTGACTGGAATAAAAGGAGTAACTGCCACTTTTGTCGCATGAGAACTCGAACCTTTTACTCTTCGACTACAACCTTGTATACTAGAGCATGTCTATTTTAATTAAATGTAAATAATTATCTAGTTAAGGTTGAAAAAAAAAAGTATAAAAAAAGCTCCCAAAAAACAATCTGCTATTTATGCTGCCTTGGCTTTTGATTCATCAATAAGTCATAATTGTCCCTATAGAGTACAATCTGCTATTTATGCTTCCTTGGCTTTTGATTCATCAATAAGACATAACTGTCCCTATAGAGTATAATTTTTTAAAATTAATTTTTCTTATACTACAAAGGTCTTATCAACAGGTGTTGGTCTGGGTTATTGGCTATTTGTTGTTTATTGTTTATTTGTAATTAAGCACAAAGCTACACAATGGGCTATCTGTGCTCTGCCCACCACGAATATCGAAACCCGGATTCTAGCGTTGTGAGTCCGAGAACCATCACGGTTTAAAGTGGCACGATGGAAGTTCGGTAACCACAATTTTATTTGAAAGTTTAGAATATAAAAAATTGAGTTTCTCAAAAATACACAAACGTAAAAGTCTGTCAGCTTATTAGGCTGAACTGTCTTGGATACTCATACCACCCATATTTCATTCAGTATTAATTATAAATATTACTCAAAACCCATACCACCCAAAACCAACAACACTGTATTCAATATTCATTGCAAACATCTTGGACACCCAAACCAACAATGCTGTATTCAATATTAATTGCAAACACTTTGGACACCCAAACCAACAATTCTATGTTAAATATTCATGAAAAATGTCTTGCAACAACCAATCAAACAATATTCTATTCAATATTCATTAACAATGTCTTGGAAACCAACACTAATAATGGTACATTCAGTTGTGTTATGTGGCTTTAGGTGTGAAAAATAATATTTAATAAAAACACCTTCATTTCTTACTCACAAAACAGTAGGGAAAACTTGAGTGCCAAGTTTAACTGGAAATCTTCAAACTCTCAATGATAGTGTATAAGTGTGTACATTAAAACTGAACCAAGGTTGGCTATGGTAAGTCTCATTTCTTAAGTGGTATATTGGAAATACAAATGTCAGTATATACACTGTAGAAAGATAATTGAAACATGGATTCAAAGAAGAATTACTTTTTTGTGGCATTTAAATTTATAATGTTCTAACAAATTACACAATGTGATGTCTTAGTCTGAATTTTTTTATCTATTGGATAAGTTTGGATGAAAAAAGTTTCATTTAATTCTGACAGAAAATGACAAGAATATTTTGGAAGTTAACTACTCTTCTCAGTGGACCAAATGTTCTCCTGGAGAAATATTTTTATGTTGTTACACATTTGATTTACTGGCCATTGCAACTCCATGATTTGTGGGTGTGATATTTTGCACTAATGTCATTAAATAACACTAATAGGAATATCATAATATTTTCTTGGGCTTAGCCACAACAATTATGCTTTTTATATTTTACTAAATTTAATGTTTCAAACACACAAAAACAATGGAATTAAAATCACCAGTACATTAATAAAATATTATTAACTAAAAGCAAAATGTCTACATCACTGATCCTAAATAAGTAAACTTATAAATTATAGCCTATAGATGACAGAAATTAAATACAGTGCTCTGAGACTGATAGGCATACACATACAGAACAAATTATATTAAACACTATGTTACTTTTAAGTTTACTAGAAAGTGGAACAGAAAGAAAAAGAATAGTCCTAACTCAGTAATTAAGTAACTGCACTTCGTACTTAGTCACAACTACAAATTACAGTGGTTTAACAGGAGATGCAACATGAACATTTTAAAAGCCACTTATTTATGTTGTTGCATAATAATTAACCAAATGATAAGAAATAAGATACAATATCACAACGATTAAATTTAAAGTATTCAAACTAATTAACCTTAATTTAAAAATTGCGTACCCGAGAGATGTCTGTCACAAATTACAATCTTTTTTGTTTTACTCTGGATCACATGAATTGTCGACGAATACAATTATACTAATGTTAGTACTAGTAGTAGTAGAACATAAAAATGTATAATACATCTCCATATGACACAATGATATTTAGTCCACATAATTATATATTTCTTTTGTTTCTACTACATTTCTCTTGTACAGCCAAACCCAGAGGTTTACCCTAAATGAATAGTAATACAAGTACATCAACTCGATGAAGCTTAAACATTACGTTATATTGTAGTGATAGCCCTAATAACTTTATATTATCATCATGAGAAAATGTGTGCTGCCACCTTACGCCACTTAGTTGCATCATACTATATACTTTCTGCGCTCAAATATAAAATGTAGTTATCACCTACACAATAGGTGTTTGGTTCTCTGACCACCACGAGGAATTTGACCCTATGATGATTTTAGCGTTGTAAGTCCGTAAACTTACTGTTGATCCACTGGGGAACTCAAACATATCAAAAAGTAGATACATTGTTCCTGGAGATATTAAATTGGTAAAATATTAGATCAAAATAATTAAGTTTAAACATACGACCAAGTTTATCACTCGTATATATATATATTTACGATTATATAAAATATATCATGTATGATATTACGGTAGTACCCTGATTTGGGTTTACGTATCATATTCTATTTCTTCCAATGGAGGTACTTGAAATATCTAAGTTATTTTCATGATGTTTTGAACTGTTTTTTGAGAAAATAATTTTTTATAGTATACATGTATTTTATAATTCTTTCCTTGAATATGAAAAGGAGACTGATAATTGGAAAGATATATCGAGAAATAAACATTTACTTCAATGAAAATTACTTATATTAAAATCCCCTATGAGTAATGTGCTGAAAAAATGAAAGAGCTACCTACCAGCATCATTAATGTTGAACTGTTGACCAGAGAGATGGCAAATGTCTGGCAGAAGCCACTGCCACCTTTTTTTTATTTGCCTGTATATAATATTATTTGAGGAACACAATACTAATCAACTAATCAAATGTAATTAATTAATGGAGCTGTCAATTAATTAGTGAATAATACTAATTGTCCAGCTGTAGATGATACATTGTTATGGTCATGTAGGCATGGTATTCATGGTATTGTCATGTGAAACTTGTGTGAATACCCTGTATGAACACAACAATGTATCTTTTAGTTTTATGGTATTGTCATGTGAAACTTTATGAATACGACTAGAAGATACATTGTTGTGGTTGTATAGGGAAGGTCTTGTGATACAAGACTTGTGTGAAAACAGCTAGAGGATAGAGAGAGTGCTATAGTAGGTACATAAATAACGAAATAAAATTACATTCACTTGAGGGAAACCTATCCGGAAGATTACATTTTCTTACGTAAAGTTGCATTTCCTCAAGAAATTAAATCCATGCAATATGTTCAGTTTCACTGGTCATAACTAAAGGAATATTGATAGATCATGCAATCTTGATTGGGAAAGCCAACTAAAAAGATGAAATTTCTCAAGGAAAATTAAATTCCTCAGAAATGTGGGAATGTAATATCTCAATTCTTATATAGTTGTATAGAGAAGGTCTTGGAGTATGAAACTTTTGTGAAAACAGTTAGAGGATAGAGAGTGCTATAGTTGTATAAGGAAGGTCTTGGAGTATGAAACTTTTGTGAAAACAGTTAGAGGATAGAGAGTGCTATAGTTGTATAAGGAAGGTCTTGGAGTATGAAACTTTTGTGAAAACAGTTAGAGGATAGAGAGTGCTA